CTTTCCCTCTGTGCAGTCATCAATTAGCACATCTACCGTCTCTCGCTAATCTGAAAACTACCAACTCCTCTCCCTGCCTCTGCCTCTCTAGTCACCACCCCAGTCTAAGCCATTTCCTGCCTGGACTAGAAAAGGCACTTTCCCTTCCTGACCCCTCCCAACATATCTATTAAAAACTCGGTGATCTCTTAAAAACCTAGTCTGTTACTTCCCTTCTTGATACAATTCCTTCCTATGGCTAGCAAGGCGTGTGTGTCTGGCCGCTCACTCCTCCAGCCTCATCCTGTGCGTTCTTCTCCTTGCTGTGAGTCCCAGTCACACAGACAGTCTAACAACTCCCAGTGAACACTGAGCCTGCAGCCTGCCCTCAGGCCTTTGCAATCCTGGCCCAGGATGCCCAGTTTTTGCATGGCTGCATCTTTCTCCTCCTTCAGTCTCTGCTTTCATGTTATACCCTCAAAGTCTTTTGACATTTCTACAGCCTGCCTGCACCAACCTATCCACACACACTTCTCTGCAGAGTGTCTTGCTGATCTCCTTCCCAGCATGAATGGCATGCTAAAATGACCACTGCCTTTACTATTTACTGACGTAACTCCTGCTAGCTGCATGCCAACAGCGGCCAGCTCTGTGCCTTCAGTACAGTGCACAGCACAGGGCACGGAATGGAGGAGATGCTCAATACACATGTGTTGGTTAAAAAGGCTGCCCTGCTTTACGTATCGGGTCACAGTAAATTAATACAAAGGCAATTATGACAAAAAGCTCAGGAGGATAGAATATAAAATGATAAACATTCTAGCCTACAAAACAACATGGTGGTTGTTAACAGCATGCTTCTGTCAGATTCTAGAACTCACTTTCTCTAACTGCACTCAGTTTCTCTAATATAGCACTTACCCATTTCTCCTAGAGCTAAAAACAACATTGATCAAAATTTACTACGAGTCCAGCTGGGATGGTACATGCTGCTAAGATGCTGTGCTCTGTAGGCTGGGACCACCTGGGAGGACTGGATTCAATTCCTGGTCCCACCTCTGGTGTGTGGCTACAACCTCAGCAACTTGGGAGGCTGAGGCAGGCAGATACCAGCTCAAACCTGGACTGGCCAACACAGTAAGACCCTGTCTGAAAGAGAGCCAGGTGTGGTGGATGCCC